GTACTGTGTTCTAAGTTCTTCTGGATGCTTTACTTATTTACTGATTTCTCACAGTGCTGAAATTAGCATGCAGCTGAAGAAACAGGCTCAAGAGTTTCTCACTTGCTTAGAGACACAAAACTCATAAGTGATGGAGGGAGGACTAACACTCATATTCGTTGGGTTCCAAAACACATGCTCTTTTTACTAATGCTTCTTAAGATTTGACTTTGTCATGTAGAAAATTAGTGGTCAACAGGGATTTTAAATTGAGGATTATTATCTGATTTGTTTGGATTATAATTGTTGATAGTATAGAATAATAGAGTGAAGGAGAGTCTAGTGGCAGGGAGACCATAAAAATAGTTTTTGCAATGGTTCGGAGATAAGGTTTTGGACTATGAGATTGATTGTGCATATGAAGGGAGGAAATTGTATTTCCTAGAACTTTCTGAGGTATAACCAATTGTTAGTGGTGATACGTTAGGCTGAGATAAGTGAGATGAAAACCTTGTACATAAGTAATTCACATTACTTTGTATCTTTGCATATGCTTCTTTCTCTCAGACTCTGAGACTTCTACCTTAATAGCCTGAATGGATAGCAACACTGTTGATTAAATTTTGGAAGAAGAACAGGTTTGGTGAGAAGATAAGTTCAGTTTTGGTCCAGCTAATTATGAGATGCCTAAGGAAATCAGATAGTCTGTCTCCTGGGTAGTTAGAAATAGAACTTAAGATTCTCCAGGGACAGGTCTGAGCTAGAGATAAAATTTTAGGAATAATCAGAATATATGTAACTTAAGGCATAGGACCTGCACTCAGATAGACCTGCATTTAAATCTTAGCTCAGACACTAATCATCTGTTTCCCTATTTGTAAAATGGGATGATACCTGACCCAGAATCTTTGTAAGAATTCAGTGAGAAACTAGAAAGCACTTAGCACATTGTTGGAGTTCAATAAATGACAACAAAATTATCATTAGCTGTTATTATCAGATTACAATATACATTTACTTAAAAATTCCAGTATCGTAAAAAGCATTTTTAATGGAATTCACTTAAATGATATCTGAAATGCTTCTGAATGGAAGATCTGTAAGGTATAATTTGGTGCCCATATGGCAGCATGGTGCATGCATTGTACCACCTGGCCAGTAAGGCCTAAGTGTTACTCTAAGGAATGGAAGATATAAGTTGTAGGCAACTTATCTCCAGGTAGCAACCCAGGTGCAACTATTTTCTACCCTCCTAAAAATAAGCATTTTAGGGAAAACATCATCTACTTTTTTCATATTATGTTTCTTAAACAATATTAGGATCTTTATAGTTGATAATATATCAACACTTTAATATTTATTCTTTTAAATCAATTTTCTATGATCCTTTCTAAACTGTCAGACTCTAGTTTGGCGCATTATTTAATTTGTACTTAATTATGAATTTAGTTATTTGTTGTAAAATGCCACATCATAATCAAAACCTGGACCAGAGTACATAGGTCCTATAGGAATGGTAATTGTTTCTACTTGATGTTAGGTTTTTATGCTGTTAGTGGGATCTGTTCAGAACATATGGGAAAGGCTTAAAGAAATCAAGAAAATAATGAGATAAAGAAGTTCAGTGATTAAAATTAAGGAATGATGAAAGTTCATCTACATAAGGCCACCAAATTGAGCTTAGTCTGTTTAAAGAATGCTGACCCAAGTGTTTCCTTGTTTCGATGTTCTTAAAGGCATCATCAAGAATTTAAAAAATCAGCTTTAATTAGCTAGTATCATTCTTGAAATAATTATGTATTGTAATAAATTGTATACAAACATCATCATCATCGCAGCAATTCTCCCCATTCTAATATGCCATATCCCTGTGAAGTATGACTATTGCTCTTCCTATTAAGGAGGGGGATTTGTCTTCCCAATTCCTCAATCTGTGCTGGTCTTTTAACTTACTTTGACTAAGAAAATGTGGTGAAGTGATGTCATTCATGTAACTCTGTTAATTCAAATCACTGATCTGTAGAATTGAGAGTTAATAAAATGACTTTAAGGCACTAATTCTAGGGTGGTTTATTATGCAGCAATAGTGTGTGTGTGTGTGAGAGAGAATTCTTCTGCCTTGAAGAAGATAGAATAATTTTAAACTATAAAAAGGTTTTAGGTTAATCATCAGGATGTACTTCCAGATTATAAGGATCAAAATCTACTTGAAAGCTGTAATGATGTGTCACCTAGGTTGCTGCAGTGGACAATGAAAAGGAAAGACAGATGATTTTTTCTGGGATGATTTATGCTCAGTGTTTTCAGAGTTAGGGCAATATTCTAGACAATGCCCGAAATCTCTTTAAACTCTAGAGCCCCGTTAAATTCCAATGACACTCTTGTAATTTTAGCAACTCCATTTTTACTTCATGAACTTGTACAGAGCATTGTAATGCCTTTCACAACCGACAGTATCTACTGGTTCACCTTTCATACAATGTAATCAAAAATAACTATGGCATAGTGTAAGCAACACAGTACCTGCAATATAGCATAATGGCTAAGGTCATGAGTTCCAGAGTCATATACTTGGGTTCAAATGTGCTCAGTTGCATATTAGATGTAACCTTGATGAGTTACTTTTGTCTGTTTCCCCATCTACAGAATGGAAGGGTTAAATGAGTTAATACTTAAGCTTAAAACATACTACTCAATACACATCAAATAGTAGTATTGGTATGTTATAGAAAATAATCTAGATCCTAGACCTGGATCTTGTTACTGTGTTACCTTTGGCAAATCATTTAATCTTTCTGGATTTGTTTTCTCATCCATGAAGTAAGATTTACTAATTTCCATGGTTTCTTTTTATCTTTAAAATTCTGATTCCACATTCAGTATTTTTTTTTACCACACGCACATTCGCACATTCTAACCTTGTCTAAATTAATTTTCAGGTTGTTGAAAACATATTCTATTAGTAAGCAATTTTGAGGACCCTCTTAGGACCACTTTCAAAGTAAAAATAATAGTGCACTTTCTCAGGAAACTAAACATTTTTACTCATATCTGGTCAGCAGACATTGATAATTGATATCTCAAGAAATGCCTTTTCAGGTTTATGGAAAGTTAAAATTATTCATTAATTTTTAACTTGTGATAAATATGCTTGTTACATTAGGAAAAATCCTCCAAAAGTGAAGAAAATAGTTCAAGTTTTATCAAAGATCTCCAGTGTTAAATACCACCTATAATTCCACAGATAAGGTCTCACATGATATTTTTTTGTTTTGTTTTGTTTTTTGCTTAGGCATACTGCATACAATTAAATATTATAGAAAACGTGATTTTTATTGGCTGCATAACAAATATCTTCATATGAACATTTTATAAGTTACATTGATTTATAAATTGTGGCATTTCATTACATTTTAGTTTGATGTGTGATGCTTCTTGACAATGGAACAGAAAAAAATGATCAAACATTAGCTATGTAACTGGTTTGTGTGTGTGTGTAGAATGTACAATATGTGTAATTTCTTTAAAATGTTAATTTTTCCTATACTTTTTCTGTTACCCCATAATCAAGCTGTTACAATCCCAAGACACGTGCCAATACTCCATTCAAAACATTTACAACTAATTTATCAATTACTGGGCCTACTACAGACTTTCCTTTGAATTCTGACAATGGATTTTAGTCCCTTGTTTACTCTTCCAAAATGATCACTGAGCCTATCTACTCAACTTTGCTTTTTTAGGACCTTGAAAATTGGTAGTTTAGACAACTGCAAAGGCTTTCGGTGGATCTCAGCGGCAAGGGATAGACAAAAGTGAATGAACTTTTTCTCTCAAAATTTCCTCACACAAGTATTTGCTTCTTGAAGATTTCCATTCCAGGAGTTGGGAAGAAGGCGGAGGAGGTGTCTCTCTTGTCCCCAAGAAGCGACACACGGGTTTGCTGAACTTGACAGACCACAGAGATCTCCGATCTTCGGGGATTTTCCAAGCAGGATGCGGGCGCCGAAGAGGTGGGAAGAACGCACACTGCACAAGTGACCCAATTTCACTTTCAGGGTCCAAAGCGAAGCACTGCTGGAATCAATATTGATCTTCCACCATTAGATTGCTTTCCTCCCAAGGACTGGATAAAAACCCAATGGGTAAATTACGAAAATTACTCGGGGGAAAAAGATCGACGTCTACCATTTATAATGCGCCAACTACGTTTTCGGAATCAGCACCTCTCAAGGCTCACACATTTGCCAAGCCTCTCCCAACAGTTCTTTCCCGAGCATTCCCAACCCTCCCTCAGTTTCAGTTCCACTCTAAGGAGAAAAGCCATAGCAACAGTTTGGTTGCCCAGCAGCCCGTTTCCGGGGCGCGAAAGCCATGGCAGGGTCTCACTCCTCTCCGCGCGCGCAACGCAGGGCTTAGGCTCTCCAACGATTCACAGGAGTACGCGCGAGCGAATGGCTGGTCCGAGTCCCCGGCCGCAACGCAGCCTCAGCAACACCCATCACCGGTCCCTCCCCCGCCCGGTCACCGCGTTTTGCCTCCCCACTGGCGGGGGCGCCGAGCCGGGCGCATGCGCGCGGCGCTCCCGGGCGTGCCGGCCACACTACCCCCCACCCACTCGGAGAGCTTGTCACTTCCTGCCCTCGCCCCATCTCCGTCCGGGGTCAGTCAGTCGCTCCCTGTCGCTGCCGGAGAGTCTCTGCTTCCCCCTTCCTACCCGCTCTGCGGCGGTAGCTCAGGCTCTTCGGGCAGGGGGAGACAGAGAAAGAGAGAGACTGACTTAATAAAGTTTCCTGAAACAGCAACTACTACCAAAAAAGGCCCAAGGTGGGGGGAGACTCCCATTCTTCCCCGCCCCTCTCCAAAAGCCTGAGGGACCGTTGCAGGTGGAGCGGTGCCGGGGGAGCCGGGCTGCGGCGGCAGCCGTTGCCCCGGTGAGGAGCTACTGAGGTCCTGCTCGCTCCGGTTCCGGCTCCTTCGGCGGTGGCGGCGGCGGCTGCTGCGGGGCGGTTCCTCCTGTCAACTGTCTGCGCCCGAGCGCCGCCCGCCCGCCAGCTCCACAGCGCGGAGGGACGCCGTGAGCCGCCGCCGCCGTCGCCTCGGGCCGCGGAGGGACGTGGTGAGCTGTGGCGCTTCCGCGTCGGCGCCGGCGGGGACTCTTTGGGAGCGCGTCGGGCCGAACCCCGTTTCCCTTCGCGTGGTCCGCGGAGGCCGCGCCAGGTGGGGCCCGAAGCCGCCTCCCACGCCAGGCTGTCCCCGCGGCTGCCCGGCCTTCCTTCCGCCTGCCTGCCGGCCCGCCCTCGGAGTTAAGTAAGTTGGGCGCACTTGGTTGTGGGGACGGGGGTGCGCCTGGGAGACCCCAACGCACGTGCGAGGTGGGGGGCCGTGGGCTCTCCTTGGGGAAGCCGCACCTCAGCCATCCCAGCCACCGCGCCCCTCGCCCCGCCGCCCCTTGGGCCCGGGCGCAGACCGTGGCACCGCGCTCCGCGCCTCCATCTCCGCGCGCGCCCGCCCGGGACGCCGAGGCCGCCGCCGCCGCCCGCATAGCCGGCCAGGCCTTCGTCCTGCGCTGCGCGCTGGAGGCTGCGTTTCCGGGTAGGACGATGAACCTGTGCGGGAGTTCGGACTGGAGAAGCCTTCGTGCGTTTTTCTTTTTCCAGTTTCAGGACAGGGTCTGTGGAGGGACAGCGAGGGCGGTGAAGGGGACATATCTGGAAAATGTCCCCCCAGGAAGTTCAGGGTGAGTGACGGGTTTGCGCTTCTTTCAACAGCCAAGCCGCAATGAAGAGCTGCTTACAGTGAAAGGAAAGTAGGTCGAGCCCACTGAAAATGCCTTTAAGGGACAAATACTGTCAGACTGACCACCATCATCACGGATGCTGTGAACCAGGTATACCCCTTTCTTCCCCAGTTACTTTGTCCTCCGTCACAGCCACTTTGCCTTCTGTTTCCTTCTAGTTTTCTTCCTGCCCAAGAAGTCATTCCTAAGTAAGCAGGCTATAATTTTCCCTAGCATAAAACTGGTTATGAAGCTAAATGCTTGTACAAACAAGAGGTCTCTCCTGCTTGATCCCTTAAAAAAAGTACTGCAAGTGTCACCTTAAATCTTTTCCACAAGATCAATTACCCAGTCTCCTTTCGTCTGTTTCAAGGCAGCCTGCAGTTAGTATACCCCCATGCTCTGTAAATGTTTAAAACTGAAGAAAGGAAACAGTGGTAGAATACTAGCATTTATCTTCATGAACCTTGTTTCATTTGAACTTAATTAAAAAATTAAGTTTCTTATGCATTTTTATCAGAGAGTAGTGCCTAAAGCCTAAAAATGAGTTTAGTTTGGGCTAAAAAAAAGTTTGTTGAACTCCACTTGTTGGAAGAATTAGGTTTGGCCAAAATCAACCTTGTAAAAAAATTTCTTGGACATAATATACTGTATGGCAAAATTAAAAAAAAATATTATTTAGATAGGATATGTAAATATATTCAGGATATTTGGTTCAGTGGAACTTTTAAAAGTTGAATTTATGAAATGAAAAAGTTACTTTTTGTAGTTTCATGAAGAATATTTAGAAAACTTGATAAATAGGATATGTAAACTATTGATAGTTTTTCTATTTAGAAGTTTGATGTGCTTTTTCACAGTTATAACTTAAAAGGGAATCATTGAATATACACTGCCTCTAAACCAAATGAAGTCTAATCTATCCTAGTTAAAGGCAGGTGTTTATCATTATTTTTGACATAAGAGTTATTAGGACTTTTTATTTTTTTACTTGCTTTCTGTTGTAGTATTTTAATTGCTCTAATATACTCAGTTTTACCATAGTAGTGTTTAGAGTGCTCTTTTGCTTAATTGAAAAAATTGGCAATGGTAAAAGGGAAGAATATCCATTTTCAGAAGACTTCGGTATATGTGAGAATAAAGTTTATACAATGACCCTATCCCCACTGATTTGCTGAAAATCAGTAATAACTCACTTCTGCTAATAAAATAGGTCGTCCCCTGATGGGATCCAGTTTCTATTCACCTGCCCGCTTACCTATCTGACTTTCAGCATCCTTTTACACTGCACATTTTGTGTATTTGAAAAGAAGACACACCACTTATGTTTTAGCAAATGTTGGGTGGAGTTTGCTACTTTGGAAATAGAAGGCTGTGAATGCCTTTAAAATTTTTTTTTATTTATTGATTTTAGAGAGGGCTGGGGAGAGACAGGCAGACACAGGTTGATTTGTTCCACTCCTTTATGCATTCATGGGTTGCCTCTTGCATGTGCCCCAACCCACAACCTTGGCGTATGGGAATGACACTCTGACCATCTGAGCTACCCAGCCAGGGTTGTGACTGTCCTTTTTACTTGTGTTTCACTGACTTTATATTTCAGTTTTGTTTTATTTTTGAGAATACTTCAAGTCATTTAGGTTGAACTTATTAATGAAATCATCTTATTCAGGAAGAATTTTATTGATTCATTTCTTGGACAGGTCATTATTGAGTACCTGTTAGGTACTAGGCACTGTCTAGGCAATGGAAATATAAGTGGAAAACAAAACAGATAAAGTCATTTCCTTGTAGAACTTTTGAGTGGGAAGAGATAGACATAAACAAATAAAACAAGATAATTTGTGACCAAATCTTATTTAGTATATTCTGGTAATTAAAGTTTTCTAAAGACTTTAATGTCTATTTAAAGATGTTTTCCAGAGTTGAACTTTTAAATATGTATTGGAACTTTTTTGATTCTTTTATTCTCCATTAACAAGAAATTAGATAAATTGAATTAAAAAATTTCAACTTTCTTTTACCTTAAGCTTTTCAGGCATTTTATGTTTCAGACTATCAAGTCAAAAGTAGCTGGTATTTCTTTGCTCTCTTAGTTATAGTTAAACACTTTCTGAGCATTCAGTTCAGTGGAAAGCTAGAAGTTGGTTAACTTACAGGGTAGTTAATTGTCATTTCAGAGGAAGGTAGGTGCTGAGTGTGAGGATGTTTCCAATACTGAGAGAAATATATTACGAAAGAAGAAGACGTGATGTTTGAAAAATTCTTTTAATGGGCTGCTCTCAGAGGTCTGTCCTGGTTTGGATTATGAATAGTGGGTAAGTTCCTTAGATGAGAGCAGTGCATTTTTGAGGAGGCCTTGACAGGATGGGTCAATTTGTAGTGAAGGGTGGTGGTATAAGCCTGTCAGTGTATGTGCTTTCTTAGTTATGCTTTTTTTTTGTTTTTGTTTTTAAAGATTGCATTTGTTTTTAGAGAGAGGGGAAGGGAAGGAGAAAGAGAAACATCAATGGGTTGCCTCACACATGCCCAAACAGGGGCCCAAACCTGCAATCTAGGCATATGCTCTAACTGGGAATCTAACTGGTGACCTTTCACTTTCTGGGACGACACCCAACCAACTTGAACCACACCAGTCAGGGTGGTAGTTATATTTTGAAAATGTTTTTTGCTATAGAAATTCTTAGCCTTTCAAAAATAGAATGGTATAAGGAACCTTATAAAACCATTGCACAGCTCCCATCAGTTATCAATACATGGACAGTCTCTTTTCATGTCTGTTCTCCCCTTTCCATGGTTTTCTTCTACACCCTCCAACTGCTCCATCACCCTCTTATTTGAGAACAACTTTCAGACCTTGTAAGTAAAAGGATTTTTTAAGGGGCTTGTTTTAAGGTAGGAGAGACTCTTACGAAAGGGAAGAATATTTTATTCTGGAAGTGTGTTCTTGGAAATATGTAAAGCAAGATGTTAACTTCTTAGGGTTTGAATTTTGGGTTGGAGGGAGATGCCTTCCCCTCACCCCCCAAATGGTTATATAACCTGATCTTGGGGAGGGGATGATAAGATACAGAAGAAGAGATTTTTATGAAATATTCATACATGAAGTTTTTTATTGTTGAGAGTATGTTTTCAAATGAAGAAAGACTAGTTTCTTAAGTGGGAACTGCACAGATATGTATGCCAAGTGGATGTGTCTTTGCCTAAGTAAGCTAATCCTAGGGTTATTTTGAATGGTATCTCAGGAGGTATGTATGTGCTGGTGGTAGCAGTGTTTGAAGATAAGGGATAACAAAATTTAGCTTTAGCCTTAAAATCAGATGTCACATGGAAGAGGAAGTTGAAGTTTATAGAAAGCTTTCTGGAGCATGTACCTAGATGAAGAAAGGGGACTCTAAGGAGAAGTTTCCATTTTTTCCTTCATCAATAATGCCCTCCATTATTCATTACTTTGTTTTCATTCTCCCCTGCTAGAATTCTTGCCACTTACAGAGCCAGACTTTGAGGCTTTTTAGTTCTTTACAATTGTACAACTTCTACTTTCTCTTTTGTAGTTACTATTTTTTGTAAACAGTTATCACTTATAAAGTACAAATACAGGAAAGAGATCCATGTAATCCACATAAATGGTATCACCAATCTATTTACGAGCTTCTCTAAAGATTTCAGTTTTTGTTGTCAGGCAAGCAATTGATTTGCACATGATGGTGATGCTGGTGATGATGTTGATGATGGTTATAGAACATTTATTGAGCAGTTAGTATATTTCAGGCTCTGTTTTTAACCAGTTTTCCTCAGTTAGCTAATTTAATCCTCACATAGTCCTATGCTTTAGGTACTTATATTATCCCCATTTTAGAGAAGAGAAAAGAGCGATCAGAGGTTTTAATTTTTCCTAGTTGTGTCTAGTAAATGCAGAAAGAGAATTTCAGCACAGTCCAGATCTGGAGTCTTAATCACCTCAGTTAGTGCCAGTGTCAGCTGCTCTTCAAATGAGTTGTATTTGTGTATATGTTCTGAATTCATTTAACATACCCCTAAACTTGGTCCTGAGACATAGTTCTTCCCATTTGTGTACAGTAGGCACAGGCGTAAAAGAGAATCTAAGGCTGTGTCTATATACATAGCATTGGCAGGTTTTAGCCCCCTTATCAGCTAACTGCTGCCCAAGTCCAGGCTCAGGCTCTGAAGCAGTAGCAGCACACATTGCTGGAGTAACCGTCCTTATCTCCCCACATTGAGCAGATGATCCTGGGTGAAGAGGGTAATACTTGAATAAAACATTATAACATTAAAAAAAGAGTCAGTTAAAGTGGGTGATTTTTCTCCAACATAACCATCTCTATTTGATACCTAATGGAAAGTTCAGCTTTCCTTTTCAGTTACCTTGTTTCATATTACCATAATCTGATTTATTGCATACTTACACAGCTAATATGAGAATTTTGAGAAGCAGGGATGATCTAACCTCTGTATATGAAAATAAAAAATTTTATTTTTAAAATGGAAATATATATAAAGATTTTATTTATTTACTATTAGAGAGAGGGGAAAGGAGGGAGAAAGAGAGGGAGAGAAACATGATGTGTGAGAGATACATCGATTGGTTGCCTCTCAAAGCCTTCACTGGGAACCTGGCCTGCAGCCCCGGCACGTGCCCTGACTGGGAATCGGACTGACGAGCTTTCGGTTCGCAGGCTGGCACTCAGTCCACTGAGCCTCACCAGCCAGGGCAAAATGGAAATATTTTTACTTATTATAAAAAATGTATACTTTCTCAGATGCACACTTCTAAAAGCCCAGGCTCTGAAGTTCTAGTGAACTGTGAGGCAGAAACTAAAAATTGTCCCTATAAATACCCACCTTAATAGAACTTTGCAAAGTTTTGTTTGTAACCCACCAGGCTTTTTGTGTTTATACATACACATATATGTTAAATTTATTTCTTTGTGTATCTATTGGAATATATAGTAATATAAATGAAATCATATTCTATAACTTGTTTTTGTTGCTTAATAGTCTATTATTGACATCCTTTGTTGTCAGTACATGTAGATCTAGTTCATGCTTTCTAACAGCCATCACAGATTCCACTGTATGGATAGTTCATAGTTTATTTATTCTGGTTCCTTTTGAGACTCTTTTAAATTGTTGGAAATTTTTCTCAATTGTTTACAGTGCTGCAGTGAACATACTTGTACCTCTATCCTTCCTTGTGCACTTGACCAAGTTCTTTAGGCAGAGGTTTTTAGGTTTTGCTTTCACAGTTGCCCAGAGAGCTGTATGAGATTGTCCAGAGGGAAAGTTTTGGAATGGCTTGTGAAGTGCATTTACGCCATTATTGCCCTAGAATTTTAGTTAAATATAATGGTCTCTCTTCAAGGGGAATAAAAAGGCAAACATGATGAATACGTATTAAATAATACCAGGATAGGAAGATCTTTGCATTTAAACTAATTAGCCTTAAGTAGCCTTATTTTAGCCTTGAATTGAGACTAACTTTATTTTTTTCCTTTTTATTGAATTGAAATTGTTTGTTCCCATTATTTCATTTTGCCTTACAAAGATAATGATGAAATGCACACAAGTGTGATTGTCATTTATATGATTGTAGCAAACCATTGTTTTACTCAGTAGTAAATGATTTAAATAACCCTTTTTTTGTGGGGATTGGGGTGGGTGTTTGTCTTTCATGTAGTTTATATCCTGGAACCTGGAGATGCTCCTTTGTTACAGCAACCACTACAGACATCCAAATCTGGTATTCAACAAATAATTGAGTGCTTTCGATCAGGTATGAATGTTTTAGGATGTATTTTCATTCTTCACATAGTTAAAACTACCTAGAAACCTTTAGAAGTAATCTAAAAAAATTAAAATGTATACACTGTTTTAATAGAATATTTTAATGTCATATTTTTTAAAAGTGGATGAATAAATATTGATGTAATCTGGAGATTCTTTTTCAGTACTATATATTATATATTGATTTTAAACTCAGTATGGTTTAAAGAAATATATTATGTGATATATATCTGCTGATAAAGTGCCTCCTCCTCCTAAAGATTCATTGTTATTTTTGACATGTTCTTTATAAACTCTCAAAGGACAGTAGTAAATTATACTGGGGCGCTTTTAAGTTTTGGAAGAGTGAATTATTTACTCAGAATGTCTGAAATGTCACTTGTTCTAGGTTAATTACTTTATCATCTCTGTGACTCGCCTTCATCTGCCTAACCCTTGAGTTTATGGAGTTTGACTATCCATAATAGAACACAGGATAGAAAAAAAAGACTTACTCCAACCCTGATATCTTCTGATACTTTTGTTTAGTTTTCCTCTCCATTAGATTATTATAATAATTAGGTATATAAGTTTATTTGTGCAGTTGTAATCCAGTGCTTTAAAATAAATGTTGCTTACTACATATAAATGAGTGAGAACTGTTAAGAACTCCTCCTGTGTTATCTTAAGTTGCTGTGACTCTTTATGATCCACTTGTCCATCTCAAGTGGATTTGGCTTCTCTGACATTGCAGACTATTAAGTCAAATATGAACAAGCAAAAGCACATGACAGATGGCTATCTAACTGATGGTCACTTCACAGATTAGGATATCTTTTGTTATTTATCTTAATGAAATTATTAAGATAAATATTAAATTATATTTTTATTTATCTTAATGAAAAATGCTCAGATTCAGAGGAAAAGACAGTTTATGTACAACTATATGTTTTGTCTTGATGAGAAATTTTTTGACATGTTTGTTTTTAAAACACTGTAAAGGGAAAAAGCATATATTTGGTTTATTTTAGGATTCCAAGAAATAAATTATTTCTTAATAAAATTTTTTTTTCCTTGACTCCCTAAGATCCATTTCTTAGACTTTTCATCTATAGTCCTCATGGCATTGCTTTTATGTCTATTTAATTCAGTAAGTATTGTGTATAAACCATATGCCTTTGCTTAGGTTGGTTGGTGGAATAACCTTTGTAAGGGTGTTTTTTGTTGTTTTTTTACTTTTGATAGCTTGTGGTTAACAGTAATAATTGGTAGGTCAAATTCTCCTATGGTAAATACAATTAAAATTTTAGTTATTAGGGACTGTATTTAAATATATTTCTCGTATAACCCAAGAATGGTTAGTTTCTGTTTGTAGTAAGAGTTTCTATTTCCACCTTTTAGTATAGAGATAAAATTTATTTTTGTTCATTCTTATATCATGGAAATGAAGCTAACAGCTTTTCACGTTTAGTAATATTCTTGTTTTTTAGAAATTCATAATATGAAATTAATAAGGTTATTTTCTACTTCATAGTGTTATTTGATTAAGAAGTTAGAATTGGTTCATTCATAAATGTTTTGTAAAAAAAAACCTTTTCAGCAAGATTTTATCCTCAAAAATCTATATGTTTTAACTTTGAAAGATGAATATTTAAAATGAAATTGTTTCTTTATTGTGCTGTGGTCATATCTGTTTTCTGTGTTTGCCATTTCCTTACAAATTAAGCTAAAGAAAAGTGAGTGTGAAATTTGTAGTATTTTTTTTTTAAATGTCTCCAGTAAATTTGCCCTGAGTTATTTGTTATTTAGGCAACTTGCGAAAATACTATAATTTTAATTCTGTAAGTACCCAATAATGTGAATTAGTGTGGTTTAGAAAGATAATGGTACAAAAAAACTAACTTTATTTTTAAAAAGGAATTTTTTTACTTTGTTAATGTGTCTTATAGCTAAGCAATTTAATCTCTTCAAGATAGTAATCTCTTACATATCTGGATAATCTAAAGTCTACTAAGGTAGCTCGTTTGTAGCTCTGAGGTGTTCAAGCTGTGGCTGACTGCAATCTTGGGAGGATGAGATGAAGGTTTGGAGGGACTGAAATCTTTTCCCATTCTGCAAGTTCCTCCCTGCCCTACTCTACTTCCAAGCCTGCCTTCAGTAACTCACCTCTATCTAGACTTTTTTGTCAATACAGCTGAGTCACACACATTGCATTTAAAAAACTATCCTGGTGGTCTTACATATCTGGCAGATATTTGAAGGTGGAAGTCCATGCTTTTGCTCTTGTTAACCCTTCAGAGGCTAAGTCAGGTTAGGCAATTCAGGTTAGTATATCTACCTTATCTTCAAGCTCAGATAATTGCCGTCAGCCCTGGTATCATCTCTATGTAAATGACTCACCTCCTGCCTACACTGGGCTGTCTGTGACCTGATATTAATTCCTACCCAAGCTGGAAATTCATAAAAGGCTGAGGAAGGAATTGACTCACTTTTTAGGTCCACCATCCCTATGTTTGCTGTACTGACTGTATGACCAGTTTTGACCTATTCTTCTTGTCTCCTACTTCAGCTTTTCTTTGGCCTGTTTTTCTGGCTTTAAATTACAGATTCTTCTTTACCTTTGATAGCTCTTTATTTCTGTCTGCTTGACTTATAAATTAATTTGAATAGTTTTTTTTAATAAGTGATATTTGCTTGTGGTTTTTAAAAAATAAGGAAGTACAAAAAGATACACAAAAATAAGTCTCTTTTTCCTCAGGCAACCACTAACCCTTCTATTTATATACAAGCACATATCCCTCATTTTCTTCCTAATACAAATGGTAGCAGAGCCTGCACACTGTTATGCATCTTTGCTTTATTAACAGTATAGTGCACTGTTATTTGACACCTGTGGGTAGATGTCTCTCTTTTTTTTTCGTTTTTAAGAAAACTTGCCTGTTTTGTCCTAACCTACAGGTTCTATCCTGAAACCTCTGACTGTTGGGTGACTTGAGACATTTCCTTTGCTCTGAATTCTTGATTTCTGGTACTGCCTTCACTGCACCTTTCCTTTTGCTGCCGCCTTGCCTTGGCTGTGTTAGTCCATCTAGGATCACTTCCAAGACTCACTGTCTTCAAATTTCCCTCCTTTCCATTAACACTTTTATTGTAGCTTCCTTCCTTCCTGAGCGTGTCTTTAAGCGAAAACAAAATTTTAAATAACGAAAAGTATGCTTTCATGAGATATTATTGAAATGGATTTAATTAAGCTTAATATTCTTTCTTAGTCTTCTTGGTAGAGGCAAAGGAGCTGTGGATTGTCCTAAGGTTAGAGAAACAGAAAAATAGGGGGGAAAGAGAAGGATAATTATTTTGTCCAGTATTTAAAACTGGTCTTTAATATGAAGTTGACATCTTTTTTGAATTATTGAAATATATAATATTGTAAAAATAGATAATATATAATATTATAGAAAAAAGCTTCTGCCTGTAGAATATACAACTATGTGCAAGGAACATCTTTTTTGACTTTTAAGGAGGAATAAATTGTAGTAAAAATGAGAATTAGCTTTGTGTGTTGTTTGCTATTGTCATTATTTTCCTAAGTGTCGATTTGGTCATTTAACTTCTTAGAAGTTTTTTGTTTTTGCTTGTTTTTCCTGCTTAAAGCAACATCAGTGTCAGTTAGTGTAATCTATAACTGGGTCATGATGCCTCAGCCCTGACTCTGTAATAAAGGCTTAGGGTGGAATTATGATCTATCAGATACATAAAGGAGTACCATTTTTTTGGTTGTTACATAGCAATTCTAGGAAATACAAATTTTAGATGTTTATTTTTCATTGCTTTTAGAAAGGAAGAGGGGAGAGCGAGAGTGAGTGCATGTGAGAGAGAAACATCGCTGTGACAGAGAAACATCAGTTGGTTGCCTTTTGTAGGTTCTTTGACTGGGGGTCAAACCTGCAACCTAGGCATGTGCCCTGACCGGAATCGAACCCAGATCTTTCTGTGTATGGGACGATGCTTCAACCAACTGAGCCATGCCAACCAATGCAAACTCTAAATATTTTAAAGACCAGATACTTTTTTAATAAATAAGAAAAATGTAGATATACTTGTTTGATTTGTTTTTTTAATTCATCTTCAAAGCATGTTATTTGGAGCTATATTCCTAGAAGAGCAGCCATTTAAATTAGTCCTGGAATTTCTCAAGGGCACAGATCGTACACTTCACTTTCATGTCTCCAGTGAATAAAATTGTACCTGATATTTAATAGGTGTTCAGTAAATAGTTGTTAAACTAAGACATTTACCAAGTAGCCACTAAAATAATTTTATTTTACTTATAAATTTATTGTAGTATGTGACAGTGTTCCATGATTAGTCTGATAGCTTATTTTTTTTTTAAATCAACGTTTGTAGGTGGTAGTTTTAAGATAACAATTTTAACTTTCTTAACTTTTCCTATTTTTTATCTTTAAGTACTTATGTTAAGGGACGATTAGTTAGAAATTTCTTTTATACTTGTCTTAGAACTCAGGAAATTTGACAGGATTTAATAGATTTGCTTGCAATGTTGGGATGATACTGTGAAGACCCAGCTCATGCGTGAGTCACCAGTAAAGCAAGCAGTATACATTTTAAATGGTTACTGCCACAACTTAAAGTGGTTAATGACCAAAAAATCAGTATATTAAGAAAAAAAAAAAGAAAGCTTATCTTTGTCTAGCACAGAAGAGTCTGAATTAATTTATGTCATGTAAAGTGACTGCTCTCCAACCTAATGTAAAATTTTTTGTTTTGAAAAAATCCTTTAAATACTTTTGTCAGTATATACAATGTATTTGGCATTAAGGAATAGCACAAGGTAAACCCTTGATGAAATTTAACTAATTTTTATTACACACCTATTATGTGAGAATCTGAAATACCCAGGAGTTAATTTCTAGGCATCAAAAACCTAGAGGGCTGGTTTCCTGAAAAATACTGACTGATGATCTGTGTAAGTAGTGACTGCTAAGATAATTTAGGGTAAGAAAGAGAGGAAAAGGAATAGTTAGGAGCAAGGCAGCATGACAGCTTTCTCTTTCCCAGAATCAAGGGCTGTGGAAGAACTTCCTGTTGCTGTGTAGATGACCGCATCTGTTGTGTCAGGTGACAGAAAGTTTTAGTTATTGACAGAGGCACAGTTGGTTGGCTGTGTCTTATTGTTAGCAAAGAAATTAGGAAATGGTAGCTGATTAGAATAAAGTTACAAAAAAACAACAAAACCTTAAATGGCAACTGAAACTAACTGGGAAAAACTTTTATTGTCTGTATTCATGGTATTAAAAAATACAAGTATTTTTCTCATTGGTAAAATGTGGTGGTAGAATTAGAAAATCTTCCATGTCTCTTTTTTGATTTCCCCATAAACACTACATAGGCTAGAAAAATCTTATTTTTATAGAGAAGGTTTTTTTTTTGTTTTTGTTTTTAAACATGTAGGGAAAAGCTCTCCAATACATCACTTTAAAAAACGTTAATCAGGCATGGGCCTGAGGACTGGGAATATAGTAAGCATTAAGGATATTTTCTCTTGGCCTTTTAGAGCTTCCAGGTTAATGGGGATACTGAAAAGTAATTAATTACAAGATAGTGGGATAATATAGTATAGCTGTATATAGGATACTATGGGAATATAGGTGAAGAATTCTTAACAAAAAAAAACAGGAGGGGTCAGAGAGGCTTCCTGGAGAATGTGACCTACAACCTGAGATCTAAAGGATTATACTGCAAGTGAGCCAGACCAAGGAGATGGGAGAATGTTACAGGAAGAGAGGGAAAAAACAGGTGAAAGCCTGAAAAGTGAGATAGAGAATTTGGTGAATCTGTTGACCTGAAAGACATTTGGTATGCCTGGATCAACACAACTGTTTTGGCGGGGGTGGGGGGGTTGTATGTGTGGTGTGTAGGTAGGGTGGGAATAGGGGAATATTTATGATTAATAATTAAGATTGATTAGTCAAGGTTAGAGCCAAATACTTTTCTGTTTTTCGATGATTATTGGGAACTCTACTGACTATAACACCGTAACTAGGAATATATAAGAAATTGATACAGATTTTTTTTTTTATGGTTGGTTGAGAGAACCCAGTAGGCAAAATTATGTGTCTGATTTAGGGATGCAGTTTTATATTTTTACAAGTAACTTTTTAAAAATGTATAACCTCATGCTATACTTCTTATGTAACTCTTTAGTTGATAAGTTAACCTAGTTCAGCTGTTATTTCTTTGTTCCTCTTGAGTCCTTTTTGACTATTTTTAAAGGCAGAGTTGAATCTTTAGTGTAGGTCTTGCAGGCATTTTAATTTTGAATTAAAGTGCAAAAATTTCCTATTTTCTTCCTATTGCTACTACACTCAACTATACATTCTTAGAACTTTATGTAGATCAGAGAGGTTTATCTAAAGTATTTTTTTAAATTAATCTTCCTCTCATAGTTTGTCAATCACTTAGGAATTTAACTATGAACTCTAAATATAGCAGCAGTTTATTGCCAATGTATGTATTGTGTAATGTGAAATAGACTACTACACACACACATATATATGTCAATATGTATGTATATAGTTTGTATGTAAATATACTTTTTTTTTTAAAGAATAATACCCAAGCTGTCTTATGAATCTTTTTAAATTTATGTGTTCTGATTTTGTGGCATGGTAATATGGTCTAGTGGAGTAAACATTGATTTGGATTTGGGAAATTGTGGGAATTATTTTAATATACTTTTTCCAGTGGAAACCCAAGCGTATAATTTTGGGGGGATTTAGGTTCATATCTTCTTTCCTAATTCTCCAAGATAGGTTTGGTTTGGTCATTTTACAAGATGGATATATCAAAGTGCAAAGATTATACAGCTCTTTAATGTCACACAACTATCAGAATTGGAAACTCTAAAGACTTTGTAAAATTCTGATAACCTGCCAATCAGTTTTTTGCAGTAGAATTTTAAAGATTGGTCTATTTTCAAAATAAAGTTAAATTGATGATTAATATAAAAATTAATCATCAATTAATTGATGATTAATATAAAAATTAAATGTTAACAAATTGTTAAAGATTGAGGTAGAACTATTTAACATTTATAGATCCTTCAGTATTAATTATTTTATTAGTGATATCGTGTTGACTCTTAAGTAGTTCCAGAGCTTAAATAGATAGTCAAATGCTTGCTGAATGATAGAGCATTTTACACCTACATAGTCTTAAAGGTATTTTTCAGGACACTTGTTTTTAATTTAAATCAATGTTGTCATGTTCTTTTATTTGAGAAAACTGAAAGGCTCATTAATTAGTAAAGCATTGCAGATCAATTTTGTCAATTTACCTGTGGCAAAGACCTGTAGGAAGTAGTGACAAAAGACCTTCCATTTGTGTTTTATTCCTGGTGGGTGTTTTTATTTTAAAGATCAGATGCTTATTGCCATTTATTTATCCTCTGCCTTTGATCTTTTGTCACAGTACTTAGATTCCCTAGATCACTGGCATTTCTTCAACAAAAAATTACTGAGCATTATTAGAGCTGAACACTTGTAGTTATATATAAGACAGCCTTGGTCTTGGCTGCTTTGGAGTTTATAATCCCAGTGGAGAAGACAGGTTTTAAACTAGTAATTATGTCAATATTTAATTAATTGCAGTTGAGGTAAGTTTTGAGGAAGAAAGGTTTTGAGTAAATTTAGAGTGGTATCAAGAGGACTAAGCAAAATGCAAAATTATGGACAAAATCAGCTCTCATACTAAACATAATAATCCTATGTTGGCCCTGAACCTGAAGTGACTTGAGCTGAATTTAAAAATAAAAGTCAACAGACAACCTTGTGACATAGTTTTGACCTTCTTTAAGGAATCGGGGAAAACGTGTTAATAAAGATCTATGTTTACTTCCTAATGCAGAAGCAAGCTGGAAGAACCAGGCAAAAACTTTGGCAGGGAGTGAGGGGGCGTGGGGACATTTAATTTTTCTGTTCTACTCCAGATCTATAGAATCAGAATTTCTAGAGGTGGATCACATACATCTTTATTCCCAGGTCATTGTGATGATCAAACAGATGTTGGGACCACTGTTGGGATATCCCAAGATTTGATTGGCTGCTGAATTAGGGAAAAAAAGCATCAATTTTAGCTGTTCTAATATCCAAAGGAAAGAAAGATTTTTGCTTAGAATGTAGTCTATAACTTAGTTGTAATAATACACTGTGATAGTAATAGGAAATGCCTATATATTTTGTTTTTAAAGAGTAAAACTGCACTTTGGGATTTTCAACAATGGTTGTTCAGTTTAAAAGTACATATTAAAGTTTTGTGTTAAGTTTACTTTTGTTTTTTTATCTCAGGAACTAAACAACTTAAACATATTTTATTAAAAGATGTGGACACTATTTTTGAATGTAAATTATGCCGAAGTCTCTTCAGAGGATTACCAAATTTAATTACCCACAAAAAATTTTACTGCCCACCAAGTCTCCAGATGGATGACAGTAAGTTTTATCTGTGTATTCAGTTATGCATTTTACAATTAAGTATTCTTATACTACAACTAAATGTTTGTGTTAAATTATAGATATCTAGTTATGGATAAATTTAATGATAGAGAATAAAATTAAATACTTGACTCAGTATTATATTCAATTTATTTTTTATCTTTTTTTTAAAGATTTTATTTATTTATTTTTGGAGAAAGGGGAAGGGAGGGAGAAAGAGGGAGAGAAGCATCTATGTGCAAGAGAAACATCGATGAGTTGCCTTTTGCATGCCTACAACTGGGGCCTAGCCCGCAACCCAGGCATGTGCCCTGACTGCAAATTGAATCAGCGACCTTTTGGTTTGTGGGATGAAGTGCAGTCTACTGAGCCATATCAGTCAGGGCTATATTCATTTTTTTAGTCATACCTGTGTTTTTTACTTGGATTTTTCCTCAAGGTATGTAAAGTGAGATTTATGAGTATATTTATTTGTATTAAAATATTGAATATTGTTTTTGAATGTTCATATGGGTCATAGAGTTTATATTCAGGATTTTTGTAAGTTAAAATACTAATTCTTGAGAGGGGTATTGGTATTTTTCCTTTTTATTCTAACAACTTGTTACCAGATATGACTGATCATTTACTTAGATTCCTTTTGAGTAAATTAGTTGATTTCTTGGGAATGGTAGAGAGTATTAAAAATATTTATTAATCTTTCTAGTATCTTCTGGGTCTTGATTTAAAGGACAGTTTTGTTCTCAGTGTAATGTATGTAGATTAGTCAGTTTATCAGAAATTAGAGTGTATCATGGGCTAACTTGAGATCTGAAATAGCTTTATGCAATGAAGGCAGATAGTAAGCTAATAAAGTCTTTGTGGAACCAAATGTTCATTGAATTAAGTGTTTTGCCCTCGTATGATTAAGCTGCTGTATATATAATGGTGTTATTTTCTTTCTGTAAAGAACTAATGTAAATTCTTTAAAATATTTTAATAAAATAACATTTTCATTTTTTTTGTTCAGGGGTTTAACTCTTTGTGGTCCTATAAAATAGAGAATTTATTTTACCAGTTTGATACTATTTTGCATTGTGGATTTTGTACATGTTTTCAGCTTAACCTTTTTGGAATGGCAGTGAAATATAAACTTCAAATATCAGCATGAAGCTGATTTAAGGCATGTTATAGGACATAGATGAAATGAAAATTCATGTTTGTTAAATCTACTGTACTTTTTTTTATTGAGATATAAATGAAAAGGCAATCCATAAAGATTAGTTAGTTTTTTTTTAAATCCTTACCTGAGGATATTTCCATTGATTTTGCGCGGCTGAGGGGAGGAGGAGGCAAGGGGAAAGAGAGAGAGAGAAGGGAACACCAGCGTGAGAGAGATCAATCAGTTGCCTCCCATATGCGTTCTGACTGCAACCTAGGTATGTTCCCTAACTGGAAATTGAACCTGCAGCCTTCTGGTGTTTGGGATGATGTTCCAACCAACCGAGCCACCCAGCCAGGGCTATAAAGATTAGTTTTAAATCTAACTTTTTAATTAAAGTATCATTAGAAAATAAGTTAATTTTTGATAGTTTTTTGTTATTTTTTTAGTATGAAGTTGACTTACAGAGGGAAATAGATAAATGGAATTGTTGGGATTATTGTGCTCTCTTCTTGGCAATACTCACTGTAGAAATACTTTTGTGAAGGATTTATTCTTATAGAAACTTTACCCATTTTAAAAAGGAAGTAGATGTGAAGTGCTATAATAAATCATTTCTTGATTTCTAAATAGAAAATTTGATGCCATATATAATAACTAATAGCTAGAATTTAGAGTAGTAAGTGGAAACATATCCAGTGTTAGACAACTCTGTTACAGTAGGAATATTTAGTTGCCCACAGAAGATGTAATTATTGTACAAGTGAATAAAACTAGCTCTGGTTTTGGAACAAATCTACAGTTTTTAATCATTTGTTTTAATAGAATTGTGTCATGTTAAGGAGACACATAAAGGGACTGAGTTTAATAAATACTTCTATATATCATGTCATTCATGTTTATATATTTTCCAAAAGTTTCTTTTTTATTTCCATAAGTGTGTCTCCATACACTTAGAATAGGTAATTTATTATGGGTAAGGTTACTTAATAGGAATGATGTTATGTGCTCTTCAAAATATTATTTTTATATATAGTAAAATTCTTCATGATGTTTTACCCATATTGGATTATGAGAACTTTAATTTGCCTTTGGTTGCCTAAAATTTTAGACTAAAAATATGAAGTGGTATTTTTTGTTAGGACACCCATGTGCTTATGTATTTTATAGTAATGGCACTTAGAAGTGGAGTAACTCTTCAGTTGCATCTAGTCCTTAACATTTATGTACTATGTTGAGGTTTTAAATTAAAGCAAATTTTAGTTTAATACTAGTTTTTATCTTCATAAAATACTAAAGAGATATAATGCTGTTATAAAAATAAATATGAACCAGAAATATAATAAATTTTAAGGTAGATGTTTGTAATACATTAAAAATTAGAGAGCCATAGCAGGCTAATTATTTCATATTAAAATGTTGTTTTTTCCCTAACAGACCTTCCTGATGTAAATGATAAACAAAGCCAAGCCATAAGTGATCTCCTAGAAGCCATATATCCAAGTGTGGACAAGCGAGAATATATTATTAAGCTTGAACCTATAGAAACTAATCAGAATGCTGTGTTTCAATATATTTCAAGGACTGATAATCCTACTGAAGTCACAGAGTCAAGCAGTACTCCTGAACAAACTGAAGTTCAAATACAGGAAACTAGCACTGAACACTCTAAAACAGTACCAGTTACAGTTACAGAAGTGGAAACTGTAGAGCCCCCTCCTGTTGAGATCGTTGCAGATGAAGTTGCACCTCCATCTGATGAACAACCTCAGGAATCACAAGCTGACTTGGAAACTTCTGATAATTCTGATTTTGGTCACCAGTTGATATGTTGTCTTTGTAGAAAAGAATTTAATTCCAGACGAGGTGTTCGCCGTCACATTCGAAAAGTACACAAGAAAAAGATGGAAGAACTAAAAAAGTACATTGAAACACGAAAGAATCCAAACCAGTCCTCTAAAGGACGCAGTAAGAATGTTCTGGTTCCATTAAGTAGGAGTTGTCCAGTATGTTGTAAATCATTTGCTACAAAAGCGAATGTAAGGAGGCATTTTGATGAAGTTCATAGAGGACTAAGGAGGGATTCAATTACTCCTGATATAGCAACAAAGCCTGGGCAACCTTTGTTTCTGGATTCTGTTTCTCCTAAAAAATCTTTTAAGACTCGAAAACAAAAGTCGTCTTCAAAGGCTGAATACAATTTAACTGCATGCAAATGCCTCCTTTGCAAGAGGAAATATAGTTCACAAATAATGCTTAAAAGACATATGCAAATTGTCCACAAGATAACTCTTTCTGCGACAAACTCTAAAAGAGAGAAAGGCCCTAATAATACTGCCAACGGTTCAGAAATAAAAGTTAAAGTTGAACCAGCAGATTCTGTAGAATCTTCACCCCCTTCTATTACCCATTCTCCACAGAATGAATTAAAGGGAACAAATCATTCAAATGAAAAAAAGAACACACCGGCAGCACAGAAAAATAAAGTTAAACAAGACTCTGAAAGCCCTAAATCAACCAGTCCGTCTGCTGCAGGTGGCCAGCAAAAAACCAGGAAACCAAAACTTTCAGCTGGCTTTGACTTTAAGCAACTTTACTGTAAACTTTGTAAACGTCAATTTACTTCCAAACAGAACTTGACTAAACACATTGAGTTGCACACAGATGGGAATAACATTTATGTTAAATTCTACAAGTGTCCTCTTTGCACTTATGAAACTCGTCGAAAGCGTGATGTGATACGACATATAACTGTGGTTCATAAAAAGTCATCCCGCTATCTTGGGAAAATAACAGCCAGTTTGGAGATCAGAGCTATAAAAAAGCCTATTGATTTTGTTCTAAATAAAGTGGCAAAAAGAGGCCCTTCGAGGGACGAAGCAAAACATAGCGATTCAAAACATGATGGCACTTCTAACTCTCCTAGTAAAAAGTATGAAGTAGCTGACGTTGGTATTGAAGTAAAAGTCACAAAAAACTTTTCTCTTCATAGATGCAATAAATGTGGAAAGGCATTTGCCAAAAAGACTTATCTTGAACATCATAAGAAAACTCATAAGGCAAATGCTTCCAATTCACCTGAAGGAAACAAAACCAAAGGCCGAAGTACAAGATCTAAGGCTCTTGTCTGGTGAGGAACAGTTAACAGAGTTTTGCTTTTTCCCCCCATCGAACTAAAAAAATCATTTGACCATAATTTATAGCTGGTTCCATTTTAACACATTTGCTTCCATATATCTCATGACAGTGGGAGCTGCAAGAGTAATGCGCGTATTGCATTTCCTCTTCAGTGACCTTTATTCCAGTGGCTTGGGAACAAAAGTTAACTTCAGAACTTATCTTCCATAGGACAATGCAATATAGTTATAGGTAGATGGCACAGGGTCAGTGCTTCCCTCTCTGTTGTAAAATACACATTTATATTGGCTTATGTTTACAATAGACGTCTTCTGTTTAACTAACTTTGCACAGGTTTAATTTGATTCAGTGACTTAGTCTACTAATTAATGCATTGTAGGAAAGTTAAATATATTAGAATGAATTTGTGAAGGTGATAATTGTAGGAAAAGCTCTTTTGAGGCATTGTAATTATTGTAAAAGTTAATCTGTGACAGCTAAATAAAGTGCTGCACTCAGAAAAAAAAAATCCCCAAATTGAATTTAGAATGATTAGTATTTATTATTTACATTTAACATAGTGCTTATAGACAAAGGGGGAAACTTAATAAAGTTTGGAATTTCTTTTTCTTCCTCCTTGGGAGTATGTACCATTTTGAAGTTTGATCTATGAAAAAAAAGTGATTATTTAGGTCCCAAATGCTCTTAAATTTCCCTTTTTGTTTAAATAAACTTTTTGGTGATCATTTCAACATAGTTAATATTATTAAATAGGGATTTTCTTGGTTGTTTTTTTTTTTCCCTTTTTTTGGTGTGGTTGTGCGTTGCAAGGAAAGTAAAATCCCTATTGGGAAGAAAGAAAAAAAAATACTACTTTTTAAGAAGGTTTTGGAACAAATGTAGATTTTAAAAATGCAATATAAAATAAGGAGTAGACTTCCTATACTTGTTTTTTCAAGTCTCTATATTTTTTAAGTTTACCTTCTGTACCTGTGTCCCTGTGTTAAGGCAATTAATATATTTAATTAGTATTAAATTAGTCTTGGATTTAACTTCTAAAGCAGTAGTTTGAGTGCTGAGTAGGTTAAATGTTATGGTTTGATTATCACCTTTTTTTTTTTAATTTTTGTGGAAAACTTGAGATGAAACCATCCTTTAGAAGTTATTAGTATTGTATAATTTTAAAAACAAGCTTTTATTGGTAAACTCAAAAGTGTTCATTTATTCCTATTTCTCCTCAGATAACTTCAAGTGATGTACGAAAAGGTTTGGAGTTCATTTTTGTGGAAAGACTTTAAATTGGTGTTAGAACCACTAAACGTCTTCAAATGGTATTATGAGAAAAAAGAAAAACGTTTTTATAAATATTTGACTGTAACTGCTGTTTTCTCACTAAAGTGATTATCATCTAACCACTTGTTTCAAAGGCACTGCCTTTTCCAGCACTTTTCAAGTAGCTGTGACATTACGTATTGTCATCCCAGTCCATCAGTTAACCACCTTTGGCCTTGTGCATTTGGTCTACAGTTTCTACAAAAATGTTGCAAATTTTGTTTTCCAAATAATTTGTTGATTGAAGTGATCAACAACCTGAAGAATATATCACCACTGGTGATTTTAATTGACAAAAACTTTATAGCTTAGTGATTTTAGTTTTGTTCCACTTTATTTGGCAGAATTTTCATTTGGATTGTACAGATAGATGATTTCCTAGTGAGTGTATGTTAGGACCAAAGACAAATTAGTATCAACACATTATACATATTTAGCCTACTAAATATTTGTCATTATTTTTACATTCATTTATTTCTAACTTGTTCTCCAGCACTTAAATGTTTGAAGGTTTCATTCTAAAATATATACTACAGGAAAGTTCTAGTTCATTCTCATCCATCGATCATTACATTTATCATTTGTAAACATCTGAGGTTTTTATGAAAATTTAACATTCCCTATTTTTAAAAAAGTTTTATACAAAGCACTTTAATGATAGATGCAAGTTAATTTTTCAGTTTCTTTTTTTTAAAAAGACTACACATTTACTAATGTTAATATGAAGGTAGTAGGTAGCTTACTGATATTTTATGGATGCAGACAATCCATGCACAACCACTTCTTATGATATTAGTTTATTTCTTTAAATATTGCTAAAAAAAAAAAAAAAAAAAAAGGCAGATGAGGGTATAAACCCTGATTTCTTTTCCTCCCAGGTAAAATCTTAAATGACCACTTTAGATAATATTTGATTCCTACTGTAAAATTTGGAAAATAATGAATCCTTGTTCATTTTTATAATCAAGATTTTAGGAAAAACAAATACATCTATATGAAATTTTGGACAGGTTTTGTGTATCAATATTTTGTACTTTTTAGGGAATATTTTATTTTTTAGTAATTTTTGTCAAATTATTTTAAGAGGTACAGCAGAGAATATACCATGTTTTTATAGAGGTTCACACCTGTACTTAGGAGGGACCCTGTCCATCTATATACTTTTTGTATACAGTTTTAAAATGTTGAAGATCCACAAGGTCATAATAAAATATTTCTATAGCTAGAAAAACATTTACCCTTCCCAGTGCTTTGCACTAAAATATACTGTGAAAGGAAACTAGAAAGACTGTAACTGTTGCTGGAAATGTTCTATATTGAATGTACATGCTCTTGTTGGAAAAATGTACTATATGTGATGGAAATAAACCAGACTTGGAGTTATTTCAGCTAAATGTGCTTCAACAAAGGTGCATTGGTTGAAACTTAAATGTTTTATTATCAAATTTATAATATTCATTGACTATGAGCAGCTACACTTGAATTATATCTTGATAGTTTTATCTTTAAGAATTAGAGTTATAATTTCTCTTTAATTTAAAAACAGATTTACTTTTCCACATATGGAAAACTTGTACTTATGGGTCTAACTTTAATGATTAATAGTGTAATATATTTAGGGAACTAAATGTGTAGGTGGTATATATCATTTATAAACCATCCTCATTAGTTGCACATTATTAAACCTGATGTTTGACTTTTGCAAGGTGTTAATCTTTTATGCATTCCTACACACAAGACATATTCCAAAGATACTATCCAGACTTAAGTACCTTATAACCATTGAAAAGATGAGTCCTAAAAAGCTTGGGGTAGCTGTTTGCCTACAGCCTTTCCTTTGTATGTTGGACTTTTCTTCTCTGCTTTACTTGTTAAATAGAGTGTAGAAGAAAGAGAAAGCCTGATTTTTGTGGAGGTTAGCCCAATTGCTGGAATTTCCTTACTTCACTTACCTATTTACACATGTTTTCTGTCATAACTCTAGGGCCACAGAGCAGGAATTTAGATAGAGGAATTGAGAGTTCAAGGACTGTCAAAAATACTGTGTGGGTCATTGAGGAAAACACAGTATTTTGTAAGACCTGCCTTATATTAGAAGGGCCTAGAGAGATTAGGTATATTTTATCATAATAGCCAAACTAACAGATTGTGGCAGACATAAAAGTTAGAGGCTAAACTGGGATCAGTTTAGTAAGGTAGAATGAACAAGTAAGAAGTCATTGGAAATTCTTTGTTCTTCCTGTTCCTTTTCTGGCCTTCATTCTTACTTTTTGGTTTTATTTTGATTCTTGAGCTCTGTTATCTCAGAGGCTTAGGCTTGAGATTCTTGAGAAGAGGCCTAGGAAATTTGTACTGGAAGATCTTTTTGCATGTAAGCTATATAAACAAATATTTATAGCACTATTTATTTTTGTTGTAGGGAGTTAAAAGAACCATCAGAAACTGCTTATAATATAAAAAGACCTATCTCTGGCTGCAAATAATATTCATCTTTGCTGCTATTTGCTCAATTAAGAGTTTTTCTATAGAATTCAACTCATCTTTCTCCCTGAAGATACCTTTCTCCCCTAAGTGTTGAAAGAGTAGAAACAATAAAAGAAATGGCTTGTGCTTCAACTACCCAAGTTTGCATAGTGCATGTGAGAGCTGGCTGAGGTATGGCCAACACTGGGCAGATAATTCGTTAGAACATGCAGATGTACCTTGAGTGCACAATGACCGTTGGTTCATGTCTCTTATTTTTTCTTCTTTACTCCCAATTTGAAGAGGAAAACCTTCTTGAAGAATATATAAATTACCCATATTTAATTTTTAGCCTGGTTTTGTATATATGAGCTAAGTTTTCTGTTGACATAGATTGCTTGTATCATTTAGAAGTATCTTAACAATTTTTTTTAGGGAATATGTGTTAAATTGTTTTATGGTCAATAAGCTGTTCTCAATTTATTTTAAAAAGTCTATGGATGCAGTAGCAGGGGGTTTTGTTGCTTTGCTATGACTTGAGGCTGTGGTTATAGAAAGAAGAGTTTCCCAGGTGTTATGACAGCTGGGTATGTAGATAAAGAGGTGTAAGTGGATATCATTTCCTGGTGAGAAGTTGCAAAAGGTCTCGTCAAATAACATGATCACTGAAGATGAGATAGAAATGCTTCTAAAACTTTGGAAATGAGATTTCCAGGTTTCCTGCTGTGGCCCGTGGAAATATTCCAGATTCTTAGGAGTTTTAGAAGTTACTTTTCTAATGGAATCCATAGAGTACCAGGATTATGATTTAAACCATAGTTCTCATAGCTGATCTGAAATTGAGCTCTAGGATATGTGCAGCATGATGTTGGTTCTGCATTAGACAAAATCCTGCTATACTCTATGCTGTTCTTTTCTCTGACTTTAAGAGCTAATGGAAAACTCAGGATTGAAAAGGAGTAAGGATCAACAATCTAAGAACTGCTTCTGTTTGGTTTCTAATCACCTAGCACATGAGAGAATGCAAAATAAAATGTTTCACTTAAACTCCCAATTATTTTGCTTTTCTAACTTTCCAAATTTATTTCTCTCTCTTACAATTTGTTTCTGCAGCCTTTTTCTCTGACCCTGTTTTGAGCTATTTCCTATTTTTTCTTCTGGTTAACAGAGATCTTGGTACCAATATAGCTAAAACGTTTTTTGAGAAGGTAAGAGGGTGGGAAGTCAGCTCATTTCTTCCTTAATGTTCTACATTCTATTTGTCATGTGTATTATATATTCTTAAGCTGTTTCTTCTACATGTGTTCACTACCGCACCACAGAGGGGAACGTAGGTGCATCTGGTTGGGAAAATGCTCAAAGTTGGAGGTTTTGCTGTTTGTGCCCACTCAGCCGAATTAAATTGTTTGATTGTGCATTTTTGAAGCCAGGGACTGTGTCTTGATAATTTTGTTTCGTGCCTAGCACATTTTGCTGTATACCCAGGCACTTTAAATAAATTGAATGATATTAAAGTAAGTAGTAGCTTTTTCCATTTCAGAACTGTGCTGCCATATACTTTGAGACAGGGGGTCTGAATTTCATAAATTTTTATTATCTCAATATTTATAGATTTCACTTATTTTAGAAAATACTACTGGTACAAAAATGAGAGTTTATGATAAAGAGAATTCTTACTATTAGCTAATGATAATGAACATTCATGGAGTGTTTACTGTATGCTGAGCACTCTGCTAATCCTTTACATATACAGTGCCCCTAATTCACCAACAACGGTATGATGTAAAAACTGTCACATCATTTTCCCCATTTTATAGAACAGGAAGTTGAAACTTAGAGAAGTTCAGTGATTTACTCAAGTTCACGTAGGTAGTATATTACAGGATTGAGACCTGACATTAGGTCTGACTACATCATGTAGCCCTTGATCAGTACACCTGACATTTGCACATTTTACCATTTGCAAAGCATATTCACTACATTACCTTATTGGTAGGTAAGTGTGATGCTTTGGAGTCAGATGATGAAATTTTTGGATCCACAAATTATTTCCCATGTGACATTGTTCAAGTTACTTAAACATTTTGTGCCCTAGTTACCTTACTTCTAAAATAAGTATCTCAGTATTTCTTAGCCCCATAAGTTGTTCTAAGGATAAAATGAAAAACATTTAAAATACTTAGAATAATGCCTGGCATGATACAATAAATGTTAGATACGATTACTATAAGTGTTGAAAATGTAGAACTTTTTTTATTACCTCTTAAGTTTAGAAAAATGTGTGCATTAAAAGAACTTTATTACTGCACCTCATATTATAACTACTGCTTTTGTATTTAATTGGGCTAATGGAAATAACCAATTAATATCATTTTCTGTCAATTCTAATCAGATATTACTAGTTTATCATTCTTAATGAGGTTTTCATTTATCTTACAAAAGGTATTAGGTAGTTGTAAGCACATTCATTGTGAGTTATGTTTCCTATCACAAATATTTTATATTTGGTCATGTGTAAAATATTGACATTTAGTAAAAACTAACAGTTGAAATATTTGTGTAAAACAAAAGTAGATGGGCAGTACTATTTGAAAGAGAGCATTTAACTATGGAAAGAGTAGATTCTTCAGTGGAGTACAATTTAGGCTAAGTCAGGAGTTTCTTTGGTTAGTGTGTCATGAAGAGATAAGAAGAAATGACACTTTTCAACAGTCTTGCCAATGGCAGTCATTAGTGGCAGTACTCCAAATTTCAGCTGAGGCCCCAAGTACTGTTAAATTATCTGCTGAGAGGGTTTACCCATATACCTGACTGTTGTTGATCTTGCATTTTTGACAATAAGATGATAATTTTAGAAATTTTAGGGTTTAGGGACTGGTATAATTTGCACCACCAGAGGATCTTGTCTCTAGATTTGGATGGACCTTCATATCCTGAACTTCAGATCAAGTGCTGGGATTCCAACACCTGGGTTGTGTGGTTTCTTAGTAATTCTGATACTTAAATACTTGAGTCAGGTGTCGGGAGCATACTTGTGGCACACAAAATATTATAATGTTTAAGCAGTAGAATGATGTGGTTGAAGATAGAGCCAAACCAAAATAAACAACCCCCCGCCCCTACTTAATGTCGAAGCAATAATAACTTAAAATGTATTGGGTGTCCTGCTCTACATATCTGGTAACAGTTTCAATACAGAGTGTGTAATGATGATAGAGGAGAAATTATTACAGCAAAATAAACCTTAAGTTCATAGAACTGTTATTACAACTCAGGTTGAATATTGGCTTATAATCCCTTCTATCTGTGGGATTGTCCTGAAAATAAATTAGCTGTGAGAAGTGGAACTATGGCTGTAGTCAAACTTTCTAAGTTGTGCAAAGTTGTTTTTTTGGTTTTTTTT